GTAAAATTAGATGCAATACATAATAAATTGTAATTATAATTAATTAATTTCACAATAAAATTTAAAATAGTAAACATTTTATTTATTATTGGATTTGAAAGATATGAGAAATTATAACAGTAAAAATAAGTTCAGCTTGATACATTTGAGAAGCTAGGGGTTAAATATTACCTTAGTATTCTGCAATTAGTTTTCTTTTTTGCTATTTAGCAATAACTATCTTTTTCTTTTTCCTGGACATAAGTATAATGTTTTATTAGTAGTTTTATTAGAATGGAATACAATAACTTCAGCTTTAATTAATTTTTAATTTGATTTAACTGTAAAAGACTTACACAATATTAATTTACCTATTGCCTTGTATCATTAGAAACACAAAGTTTTTGGGATTGTTTTCAGTTAATTCTTCATTTAACCTGTATCAGGTACCTTGGGATCAATTTGACTCCAGACATTTTTCAGTGTTATAACATGAAAATGGCTTTTTTTCCACATCAGAATATGTACTAATGGAAGGAGACTTACATTGCTTTATCCATTTACAATATCTATTTTGTTTTTATTCATTTGGGGTTATATGGACCCATATAGCTTTAGTTTTACATACAATATAAACTGGATTTTATGTTGCTATAATAAAACTGGAAATTACATAATACTGTTAATTACTAGTATGATTCGTTAGTTCTTACAGTGCGGGAGTAATTGTTTTTTTGTTCTCATACGACTTATTAATTTTTTTATATTGTATTATTGTTAGTTGATGAATGGGTTCATATATTATCAACTGTTAGATAGGCATTGCTAAAGAGTATCTTACTATGATATTAAAATAGATAGTTAAGTTATAGCAGGTACAGCATAACCAGAAAAAGAGGCTAAGATCAAGATGTCAGCTTATATCTCAGAAATCAAGACAGTAAGACAAGAATGAAATAACTACATTTGCAGAAATTACAGTTAAATCATCCATAAGAATTGTGAAAATAAATAATATTTTCCCTATGAATTCTTTTAATGCATTAAATGAAAACATAATAAAATTTTTGTAATTCATATGAAACTTTAACAGTAATTAATTAATTAATACAGGTTTTATGATTGTAAATACCGTAGACCCCCCCTATAAAATGGGTTCATATAATTCGGATTCATATATAAAACAGTGAAAAAATTGTGACTGTATTCGTATGAACATGCTAAAAGAGACTCCTATATAATGGTAAAACGTCATTGCCAACTCATGTCGCGACAGGATTGGTCGAATCTAGACCAATAGCAGATATTGCACAAACCGTTGAGTTTAAACAAGCAGCCGACCTACTAAAAACTATTTATTATTTAACATCCATAAAAATTATATTTATAATGATGTCTCCAAAGTTCAGCAAATTTTTTGCAGAAAAATAATTTATCAGGAAACGCGCACCCCCATTCGATGCATTGCTCTGCGATGAAAACAAGCTTAATTAATTAAGCAATGGCATCATCAAACGGTGCACACTCAGTAAGTAATCCTACAATTTTTTGTTTATAGCATAGTTTATATGGATTATTCCCAAAAAATTATACGTGTTTTGGAAATGTTGAGTCAAATTAGTCTAGAATCGATTAATTTTATGGAAGAAAACCTTTCAAACAGCTATAGTCCGTAAACTGCATACATGCCAGGCTGTGATTGGCTCATGTATTTAAGGACTTATAGAACATCAATTTCATAAAGAATGGAACATATCTACCGTGTTATAGGGAGGTCGACTGTATTTGTAAGTGAAAAAGATTTTAAAAGTAAATAATAACAACATAAATTATGTGAGAAAATAAACAATAACAACCATTTGTTTGCATGGGGTCAGTGTGATCCCAGGTTTGTTCCTTTCAATAAATGTACGTACAGTGGAACCTCGGTATACAACCTTAATCCGTTCCTGATGTTTGGACTTATACTGAATAGGACATAGACCAAACCAACCTTTCCCATAAAAAGTAATGTAAAAATGATTAATCCATTCTCACGTAAAAAAAAATGGCTGGCTTTAAACACCTTGCTTTCCTATGTATATAATTCGTCTCTGTAATCCAAAAAGTTTTTGTTAGACGGACTCACAGCAAAACTTTTAGTTAGGAACTCACTTTTATTCTTTAAAAAATGACATATGCATTTCGGGTTGGTATACTCATCCAACCCCTCTTCAGTGCTAATTTTTCAAAAAACAATAAAGATTTACAATAACCAATACATGACATAAATACATTACAGAATATCACTACTTACTTACTCTTAAAGTAAAAGTTGTGTATGGGCTACCACTACATCTGAACACCAACTATTTGTTTTCCATTTAAAATGCACTTGAAGTGTTTGCATAACATCTCTTCTAAAAACCATTATACATAATGACTTTACTGTAAACTTAACAAGTGTATACAATAACCAATACATTACAGACCTTTAAAATATAAATAGCATACGAACAACCAATCTAACTAGCAATACATTAGAATACCACTTTTAAATCAATCGCAATAACTTCATTATTTTATTACTATATAGCGCCCTCTATCATTTTGTACCATCTAGAATCTATTTGCATCCCATCAGAAATATTTATTAAATTATTTTGGTTTTTCTTAATTTCTAAGTGTTCTTTAAATTTACGTTTATATATGTCCTTTTCATGGTGTAGAATTTTAATATTATTGCGATTAATTTTACATCTATTGTTTTCCGTGTGTTCGTACCATGGCGAATTTTTATATCTCAATCTGATAGCCGCTTCGTGTTCCTTTATTCTTACATCTAACACCCTTCCAGTTTCACCTATATAACTACATGGATTCATACAGTTACATTCTATTTTGTATACAATACCTGTCTTTTTTAACAGATNAACCATATAGAATATAAATTTTAAATTTACTTGTTAAATTTAGAATATAGTATTATAAAATATGAATTAGAAAAATTATTATAAAATAAAATGGTTCCCAAGTTTTACGTATTTGCATGAGGTTATATAGTATGAGTATGTAATAAAGCTATCTTTTTTGTAAAATGAAGCTAATTCAGTAGTTTTTTTATATTAATATTAGAACTTTAAAGAGGATATTATAGAAAGAATATAATTTTATGTAAATCACTATTTTAAATGAAACATTATAGAAAAGTTCACAAGTGGCTTATATCAGATATTATGTTTGTTTAAAGATGGATGATGATGATATAAAACTATAAATTCAAAATATAACTTTAATAATGGTTGCAGTTATGATTTTTCTAACTAATAATATGTCACATTAAAAATATATTAAACTTTTTAGAATTTTTGAAGATATATGCATGAAATCATAACACACCTGTGCATATATGTTTTTGAAATAATCCAATCTCAAGTAATAAAATTAGATTTTACATCTTTTAGCTGCTGTTATGTAATTTTATGTAATAGAATTACTTATTATAATCACAGATATTGTTTTCAGTCATCTAATAATATCAGAATTAGCACTTTCCAAAGCATACAAGTTAAGCAAAGTTTTATCTTTATTATATTATTATTTTCAGCTAAATAGAGTCAAAACCAATTAAAATTTCCTATGAGTGTTTACATTTAAAGCACTGATTAAGCATTAATCATTTCATTTTCTCACAATATTACAAAAACTAGCAGGCAAACAACACTGGATGAATTATTTTTATCAATTCTAAGACACACCATGAGTTTACAATTGAATTATAAGATACTTTATTTTTATGGAGAGAGAGTTTTTAAAATTGGCTGAAAGTTTAAAAAATAATACAGAAATTATGAAACAGATATCAGACTACTTTATTTCTGTACTCTGCTGTATAAGCAGTCATTTTTGTTTTAACATTTTCAAGATGATATTAAAAACTTGCATTTTAAAAAATTAAGACATATTTAAATTAAACACTTACTATTGGTGAAATACATTTGAATTAATGTGAACATTGAGAGAGGTATTGCAAAAACATTTATTATGTTACAACACACCACATGATTTACTTGCATTGATACTATTGATTATTTTGGACATTAAATATGAGAAAACCATCAATTCAAAACTTGCCATGTTATATTAATTAATTGCATAAATTATTTAACGTTTTAAATATTTAAATGCTTTAAATAACAATATTATACTATATGGTTGCTAAGTTTTTGCCAACCAACAAGTCTAAGATGCATTCCTGTTTTGAAAAAGCTTTGATAAGTGAAACTAGTGAATTTTAAAACTAACTGCCTGACTGATTGTAACTAACTTTTCAAAAAACATATTACCAAAACTCAAATATAAAGTATTGATATTTTTAGAATAAAATAATTTAATTGATGCCTCCAAGTTTAGTTTTGATCTGTTCAGTTGAATATAAAAATACATGCTACTTTTTTGGATAGCCAAATGTTTTATTATGTACAAAACTGTTTTTTGGCCTAAAAAGGCTGACAATATTTAAAATAGTGTTTCTCAAATGGGATCCCAGTTGTTTTTTTAACCTGGGAAATTCTTCTCATCCCAGAAATCCCACAAATTTCTTAAAAGTTCACTTTTTTTATGTTTTTATTTTGTGTTAAGGTTGAGGAAATTTTGCAAATAGAAAGTATAATTAACTCATAAACTGTCAGAATACATTTGTATTTATTTATTTTAAACCTATGTATTAGTTTTTTTCAATTTTTCCTCATTACGGCAGGTCACAAATGGTCAATAATCAATACGTAGCTTATTTGTGGCAGGACTCTGAAAATTCTTTACTTGTCAGACCTATAATATCTGGAATAATTGTGCTTATGCTGTCTTAATTTTTAACCATGCCCTTAAAAAAAATGTTTATTTTATTTAAAATGTGTAGTTTAATTTTAAACATTTTTGTGTTTAATATTCTGTATGAAATAATGGAGTAGCTAGTAATATATTGTAGTTTAATACTAAAAACTTAATAATCTAAATTGCAAATTTGTTTTTATATATATTAGGTATGGAGATAGCCCATTCTTTTCACATTCAGAAGATAAAGCTTTCTCAGATTATTTGAAAAAAGGGCCTTGGGATGTAGAAAAATCTGATACAAAAAAGTCAACAACAGAAACGATACTTCCTTTAGAAAAAAATAATAGGTATGCTGCACTAAGAAAAACCAAATTTATACATTAGACAAAATATATAAACTTATTTCTGTCGAATTTTAGTTATTTTTCAGGTCGAAACAGAAAAGAAATAGTAACATCATCATCATCTACCGACGAAGCTCAACGTAAATTTGGTAATGCAAAGGCTATTTCTTCGGATCAGTTTTTTAATAATAATTTTGATTCAGAAGTAAGTACTGTGAATTTTTTCCTCTAATTTATAATTCTCATTTACAATAAAATATTAAAATTTTCTTTTAAAAGTATCAGAGAAAATCAAATCTCTCACGTTTCGAGGGATCAAGCAGTATTTCTAGTGAAGATTTCTTTGGAGAATCAACTAGGAGTCCAACTCATAGTTATAGTGGTCCTAATATGTATGATATTAAAGAAGGTGTTAAAGATGGAGTAACTAAAGTTGCTTCAAGACTTTCAAATATTGCTAATGGTGTGATGAGCTCGTTACAGGTATATTGAAATTATTACTTCATATAAAATAGCAAATATTAGAAAATAAATTAATTCTGAAATTGTAATAAGTAGTTTCAATCTAACAAGAATTTATGTTGACGATACTTTGCATACAATATGAAAAAAATAAGAAAATGAAAAGAAAGTTTTGTGTAGACAAGTGTTTAAGAATTGCACATCAAATCAAACTATAGTACAATCCCAGAAACTTGACTCTTGATAACTCGACATTCCACAAAACTTGTCACATTGCATTTTTTCTCTTTTTTGAACAATCTAATTTCTTCCTCTATAGCTTAATGCTAGGATCATGTTATCATTATTCACTAGCAACACCTGATAATAGCATCATATCCACATGTTAACAAAGAACATGACCCTTTATCAAAGGTATCACTACAAAACACCTCAATGTGAATGTCACAAACTCGAAAGTAGCCACTAAATAGCCAACAGATTTTAATTTAAAATGTAACTACAAATTATAATAATCTATGTACAATACTGTACCTATAGTGATTATTTTATGTATATAAATTTGCACATATAATACCTTTACCAAAATTCATTATTTAGACTAGCATTATTATTTTTACAACATTAATTGAAAGTTCTAACATATGGTTTGATGCAAACATTCCTTAAATAGTAGATAAATAAACAAACAGCAGTACTTTTATCATTAAATTTTATTTTTTTGTATTGCATGTAAAGTATTGTCAACATATGTAGTTTCAGTGTAGCTTGAGCTGTTAGTTAAAGCAATTAAAATTATGCAATAAACTTCTATTTACAAAATCTACAGATAAACTAATTCAAAATGTTAGAAGAATCTTTTACTTCCTAATGAAACATGAATGTTATAGCTGCTTATTTGTATTCATTTCTACATGCATGTAAAAATATCATATGACTCTCACTCCGTCTTCTCTATAATGCACATTATTTTATATAATATGGTGCATACAATGTGTATATTACAAAAGAATCTGATGCGACACACTTCTTACAGTTACAAAGTCTTAATTTTCATTTTTCTCATTAAATTTTTCTAAAAGTAAATATGTAAGCATTATTTTTTAAATGAACAATTCTAAAACACCAAAAAATAATTGTAAAAAAGTTTTTATTGTACTATAAAATACAAGATATAAGCTAGAATAATTGTCTGATGCTTTAATGAGTAAAAAAAATAACACAAATTGAATATAATTGTTCTGTATTAAGTTACATGACAAAATCGTTTTCAGTAGTTTAGTACTAAATTTAAATAAATTTATTAAGAAAAAAATTACTTGGTTTAAACCACATGTGTGTATTGTTTTTTTCATTAATCTTCTAATTATATTAGTTTAGTTTCTTTTCTTATTGTTTTTATCTTGAAATCCTGCAACCCTTGAATGACTAATGAAGGTTTTCTCAATTTATCTATTTCAGCGTAAATGATACGCTAATCCAACTAACATCTTTAATTTGGTAAGCACCCATTCACAAGTTACATGTTTATTGTGAATTTGTTCCTTTCAATCTGTCATGTATTTTTTATATATATATATTTTTGTTTCCTCCTCCTCCTCTTTAACCATGTGCCTTCTCATATAGTCATAAACAGTTACTACTTACGAAACATGATTTACATCAAGTTTTTTAATTGTTTTTTTATTCTAGGAACATTATAGTTNTTATACAATTTTTTTGTATTTCCTCATCATGCATCATGTCCTTCCAGAAAAAGACTTTCATATGTACACAGAACTGAAGAACTAAGGACCAGTCAGATCCAGGCCATAGAGTGGATGGTTCAAAACTTATCTTTAAAATGAGTTGTTTTTTTGTGACATGTAGGTCACACACTGTCACAGAGAAGATAATGCTGCTGAACAATAGTTCTCTTGTGCAATTCTGAATGACCCATCACAATAGGCATCCCTGGGGCATGACACTCCACGAGAATTGCTTTTTTTATTCTAGGAACATTATAGTTATTAGTGCCACAAATTTTTGGATAAAGGAAACACAGCTGATCAGCGAACACGGTGAAAGTTTACGAATTCTTTACATAAAGATGTTCACACAATGGTTGGATCGTTTTCAGTTTTAAAAAATCTTATGGCAATTTCAGATTTGTTGATGAAATATATAATGCTAGGTATGGTAACTTCCAGATGCTGTAGAGTTAATTTGAAAATAAGACTGTTTAAGGATATTAAAAATATGTTATGTTTGATTTTGGGGAAAAATGAAATTTTTTTTCTAATCTTACATAATTCTTTCTAATTATTTGTATATTAAAGCTGATGAAATGTAAACAATCTCATAATTTTTCAAAAATTTCAGAGATTTAAAAAAATCCATTTCAAAAAAATTAAAATGTGAAATTTTTAGATGTTTTAAAACTCTGACAGTTTTTAAAACAGTTTTTTGATCATTTATTATTAAATTAAAAAATTGTATTTGGTTAATTTGGTATTAAAATATTTTTACATATAAGTTGATCTGTTTTTCAGTAAGAATAATTTACGAAAGTAAATTTATTTTCTAACATCTAAAAATATTATTAAAAAGTAGAAGTCATTCTAAATGAGAGAGAAAAAAATAAATGGCAATAAAAAAACATTTTTATTAACATTTATGCTATTTATCATACGTTTGGTCACACTTTGTGTCGAGCAATTGCCGAAGTCACCCAAATCACAGGTATTTGTAATCATTATTGTAAATTTTTATACTGACATAATACATCCTCATCTCTGTTTATTATTTACAATAAAATCTTTTATGGGAAAATTGTAAAAGTTATTGATTTTTTTTATATAAAATGAGAAAAGATTGTTTATACATTTTTTTTTCTGCTTACGTTCATTATTCAGTAGTCACTATTTTATATCTCCAATATGTAAGAGATGCAACTATGAAATGCACAAAGTCTGTTGTTTAGAGAACACAACTTGTTTATGAATGCATCTTTTTAGACACTGGAATATGTATAAATGAATTTTATTTAATAAATTTTAGTTTGGTGATATGCATAAATACAAATAAAATATATGAAATCTCATAAAACAGCTGTCTCAATTATAATTGAATTGAATTTCTTTTTATGTAAATCTCAAAAAATTCCTTCAAGAAGTACGAGATTCAAAATTTATTACTAGGATCCGACTTAAGCAGTATCAATAAAATCAAGGTTAATAAAAAATGAATCAAAATTTTGTTTTTGTTTAATGGCAAAATAGGGTTGAATCATAAATCATTGTCACAATTAAATATATTATTTTTTATTCATAATTACCTGAGGTTGGTTTTGAGGCTTAACATAAAATAGATCAAGTTTTTAAAGAAAGGCAAGCAGTACAAGTTATTAAAAAAATGTTAACACCAAACATTTTTTCTATCCTTACACTAAAAACAATAATTTTTTTAGTATCTATTCAGAGCATGTGCATTATCTCAAATTATGACATAAGCCATTATGTAAATTCCATTTTATAGATGCTTTTTTTTTTATCTACACTTAGAGTAACTAACATAAAAAAAATGGAAAATTATTTAATTAGAAATATCGATTTAGACAGTAAACAATGCCTTTCTACAGAATAATTTGGTTGCAAATGTTAACTCCTAATTCCATTCTGCACCGGTGTCATTCAATATTTTTGTAATTTGTTCATACAAAATATTTTTATTTATAAGTGGTTTGTATTGCACTATAAATGCAGATTAGACATTTCCTATGGCTACCATTCAGATGGTATTGAAATGTGAAAAATTAATTTGGAACAATACAATATAAAGGTGTAAATTTGTATTATATAATTCTGATTTCAGGTGCCTTAGGTAAGGAACACGAAAGGATATACAATATAATCTTTCTTTTATTCTGAATAAAATACAGGATTCTATTAAATTGTTTTTAATTTTCTCTAACATTATCAGTGCAACTTTGTGGTGTCCCTCTTGATTTGGTTTCGTTTTGTGGTGAAAAGGATAACATTTCTGTTGCTGACCCTTCCCTGGTCTAGACGGGAAATGGAAAACCTGCAAACTGTTCTTCTGTTGTATCACACTTCCCCAGTCACAAATTACATAATGTTTAAATTTTCATAAATTCAATTAAACACAAATTATAATTTGTGCTTAATTGAATTTTATATTTGTATATTGTGATAGTTTTTATATTGATGGCACATGTATATTTAAGGCTGCAGTAGGTATCACAGATTGCATAAAATGCCTTCTGATTACTAGAGATAGCTGCAAAAGGAATTCTAAAAATTCCTCACCTATATCTGTGTGTCAGCATCCACAGTATTTAACAGACCTGAAAGTTGCTTTTTTGTTGACATGTCTGTAAAATCTGTTTCTGGTTAATGAATGTAAATCAATGAAAGCTCATGTGAAGCTGCACAATATATGACCAAGGGCATAATGATACTTCCTTTTTTACTCGCTCAATTTTATTTTAAAGAACAGACTTGTTTTGCCCTGCAGACTTAAGTTGAAGGGCCATAACTTCTGGAAGTACATTAAAAATTTTTTATGTCATACTTGTCACATAAAAATGAATCAAGCTTTGGATGCAGTTTACTTTCCCGACTGTTATAAGTAAGAGGGAAAGTACTCTAGCTTTGTGTGCTTATACACAATGAAGAGAAGTAGAAAAGGTTGTTTGCACATGCATGTCCGAACATCATTATTTAATACAAATTGTCAACTTAGTTGTGAAGTTTCATCTGACAGATATCAACTATTTACACTTGAAATAATTAGTAGCAAGTGTGAACATTTAAAATTTATAAATGGCTCAGATATAACAATTTAGTCACTAATTATAATTATACAAGTTTTTTGTATTTCCTCATCATGCATCATGTCCTTCCAGAAAAAGACTTTCATATGTACACAGAACTGAAGAACTAAGGACCAGTCAGATCCAGGCCATAGAGTGGATGGTTCAAAACTTATCTTTAAAATGAGTTGTTTTTTTGTGACATGTAGGTCACACACTGTCACAGAGAAGATAATGCTGCTGAACAATAGTTCTCTTGTGCAATTCTGAATGACTCATCACAATAGGCATCCCTGGGGCATGACACTCCACGAGAATTGCACCTTTTTTTTGTCCCAGAAGACAATTGCCATGAATTTTCAAGATGAGAAAGTCTGCATGAACTTTCTTGGTATGAATGATCAATCAATGGAATGGTATCACCATCGTTCATGTTTGTTCTCAGCTGTAGAGTAGGAAAACCAAGTTTCATTTTCTGTCACAATGTATATCAGAAATTCATCTCCTCTTGAGTATCAATCCAAAAAGATGCTGCATCCATACAGTTCTGTGTTAATCACTAAGCTGGTTTGGAACACATCTTGCACAAATTTTTCATTGTTAATTTGTGGAATCTTGGGTAATTTTTCATGTATTTCATTAAGTGAGATGCCAACCCTGTTTAATGAATTCCTTTTTGATGAAGTAATGCATGAGAAAAATAATATATAACATGCTGGCAAGAAATTGTCAACCAGATTAATTGATCTATTTCATGCAGAGTTGTAGGTACCCAATGATTCTTTCTACAGAGTTCTGGGCAAAGTTCAACGAAATTTGGTATATGTACTGTCTCGAGTATGCAGTTTGGATTTTTGGTATGAAATTTGATTTTAATTTAGTTGTTAGTGTGAAATTTGATACTGCTGTCCCTCTTATGTGCATATTTCAGGGGTATTAAGAAAAAAAGTGCAACAATTTATTTTCAATTACAAGTGTGGAATGGACACACAGAGCATCAAAGAAATGCTTTGTATTCTCCATCTCCATACTCTAAAAACAATTTTGCATGTGCAACAAGTACATGCAGCAAATGCAGTCTTGAGACAGCCTCATTTGTCAAGGTAATGTTCCCAACTTAGCTATTTAGATAGACTCAAAAAGTCAGAAGCGTTTTGGATCTTGTGAGTGTGGTGCCACGATGGAAATAATTGGCTAACCATTCTCTTGCAAAAAATGCTTTATTGCAACATTGTGCACTCCCAGAAAATGGCTTAAGTCTGGCATTCAGACAATTTCTCTGCTGCAGCTGGAATGACACTAGCCCAAATGCAGAGTTTTCTTCAAAAAAAAAATTTAAGGATGGTGTAAACTAACCTCACAATTACTTTTTACTGAGTGCAATGGAATTTGTTACTGAAAGTGGCAAATGTTTTCTAATTTAGGGGACTATTTGTTATGGAAAAAAAAGCCCTCCTTGTCACTTTATCATGAGTTCAGTCAGCCCACAATGGAGGTGGAGAGGGGCAGACCAACATTTCTGAGACATGGGTGGGGACCAATAAATAATTCCTGGTATCGAGTTCAAGCAGAGAATAGGCTGACAATTCATAAGATTTTCGGTTCCTTCTATAAAGTATACTCAAATGTAAAAATGTTTATGTAATTTCATTTTTAACTGGCATTAAAATAAGGATGCTATTTATATAAAATCATAAAACAGTTTGTTTACTCTTTAAATCAAAGACTCATCCATTTGATCCATAAACAAATTTGGAAGAATATCTTTTTATCAGTAGTAATGGAAATGTTGCATTTGTTGAGTGCACACAGACTGAATTTCTTTTGTAATAAAATAATGAAGTTATTGCAATTGATTTAAAAGTGGTATTCTAATGTATTGCTAGTTGGTTTG